ATATAATGCATAAACACAATATAGCATTAATACAGTAATTTCTATCACTTATGAAAAGATAGTAAACTCGGGCATTCCGCATTAAGGTATGCTATCGTTACATCTCTGAAGTACAGCAAATCTACAAAAAGCCACAACATCCACAGCAAATCGCACAACACTACCCTGTCCGCTCGATCGACACTTTCTCCACCTCTCGCTCCGCCAATTAAGAAAATGAACCATTCACATCAGCTTATCCCAATCAGTCGTACCGAACGCCTAAACAACTGCAGGTAGTGCAAAAATCAAATGCAAGGCACTATAGCACACCAACTTCAAAGAATAACCAAGACTAACACAGTACGCTTGCAAACTGATCGTTAGGCTCATGCTTAGATTTCAAACGAATTCGCGCACAAACACTTTTCATTGAATCAACAGTTTGTTTTTATTTTTCATTCTTTCAGCCATTCGCAAGCGAACATGGATTCACTTATTTGTTTTTCTGTTAACAATGATAATAATAGGAAACAAGATACGGACAATCACGTTATTTGTGATCCTCTGAGATAAGAACATTATTGCACTATATATGATAAAACGGCAGTTTATGTCGTTTCATTAATTTACTGAGCAATAGCATAATAGACAACTTTATTATTCCTAATATTTAATGACAGTCTATTATCGAGTGATTGAGTCACGCGCTAAAATTATTTGGCATTGCTGCAAACGTATGGGATTGATTGCTAGTTGTTGCGAGCCCTCCAGTCACTATGTGCTAATAGAAGGAGGCGCATCAGAGTAAATGGGGTTAGGCGCAAAGACCTGCATATGTTTGACACTTGTCCTCACCAAGATTGCATTCTGTCCTTTCAAGGGTTTGTGCTGTACATGAATAGAATAGCTAGATAGAAAGATCGACGACTGTATCGGTGTAATGAATATAGTGATAAAATTTGTAGTTTGCAGACGATCCTGTTTTGCTGGCATCTTCCGAAACTTATCTTTAGCGGTGGTGTTTTGGCGTGGAAAGGATGAAGAATACAAATCATACAGTCATGTTGTGTATTGGATGCCTTTCATGGTGCAAATTTCACTGACTTTTAAATACCTGACTAACCACCGGCACAAAGTAAAATTATAAATAGAATGCAATAAATAAATTGATATAAAGTGATACATTACTTCGGATTAAAAATGTTGCATTTTTTATTTATATCTTAAACTGTTTTTTCGATGGCAATATCCTGTACCGAAACTGTCACTAGGAGACCGATTTTTATGCCTGATAGTTCTATGCACATATCAAGAAGCGTAGATTTTCGTGGTGGTAGTCACAGCGAAATTCAAATTTCAAACCTCTCACAGTTCGTCAAGCGGAACGGTCATCCTGAAATGTTGACATTTATAAAATGTATTCGAGATAATTTCAAGAAAACTTGATATTGGAATTCGAATTTTGAGATTAATGCCTTGAAGCCACTATAAAAATGAGAATTAATGAAGTAGTTTACCGGAAAGCGTATAGAAGAAAAACTTAGTTTTGCATGCATCTTTTGAAAGTCATGCCAGATTAAAGAAAACAGGTGCAAAATCGATGCCACTGAAATTACTATGCGGGTCTGATAAATGAAAACCTACAACTGGATCAGTTGTTAATGACTCTAAGAGAAACAAAGGCGCAGTGAACGTCATCCATTGCGACAAGGTTCATTTTTCCCACTACTCTAGCTTTTGCTTTCCATAAGTCTGAGGAAGCCGAATTAGTGGAAATGATTTTTTTTCGTAAACTGACACATCTGAAGTTCACGATAATGAAGATTTATGCGTTTCATTACTGCTTTTCTGTTAGCTACATTTATTTCTATAAAAAATGTAATCCGGTGTTTTCCTGATATGCAGGTGCGTTGCCAAAGTTAGTGAGTTTCTTTTCATACTTCTTAATCTTCTGTTTCTTCTTCCCTAAATATATCTTCTGTTTTCTGCAACAATCTGAATAATCATCATTTGTTGTAGATAACAGCTTTGCTAGTTGAATGGTTTAGGATTAAAGATGCTGCATAAGCTGAAAAGCTTTAACACGGAAAAGTGTAATGAAAATATCCAGATTGTTTATCAGTTTTATTTCAAAAATTTTTTTTCAACAGACTTTTTCATCGATTCTAGTCGAAAAGATCCTCGTTGTTCTACGAGAAACAGAAATGGCTTTGTCTGTGTAGCATTTGGGTCTTCCCAGTGATATGGCCACTACTTTGTTAACACAGTTCATATGCGTCGTATGTCTCTTGATTCTAAATCCATCAGCAGATCTACGTGCATTTTACTGCTGAGAGTGGTGGCATATTCTTGTGTATTGAACACTGAATATAAATGAAAGGTTAACGTTTCTAGATGAATGCAATATTCCAAATCATCATTTTCATCGTAATCATCAGCTGGAACCTATTAGCCAGGAGCATCGATCTTCAAGTTATCCCATTAGCTGTCCGGAAATCTTCCACGATACGTTCACTCCTTTTTCGAATCCAATGGAATATCAATTTTGTCCAACGATAACGATCAGTTCGTTTTATAAGGTGACTAACTCATAGCGATATTGGCTTCTTTGCTCCTGCAATGACACTTAGGACTCATCTTTGTGATCCTACCCAGTTATTCGAATTCCCATTTTTGTCATTGTCAACATGCACCTTTACATTCTGTTTTGCGTAATATGCAGCTTGCCCACCGCTTTCAATATTGGGGTCCGTGTTTCGCATCCATACATTAATATGTTAGCTTACACTACCGAACACCTTCGGTTTCAAGTGTGAGGGCATTTTTCAAGAGAGGAACAGTTTCAATACTTCTAAAATATGCCAAAAATTCTCCATGTCACTATTATTCCTCCATTGATTTCTTATAGCTGGTTATCCATTGTTGATACAAGCTGTTTAAAATAAACGTAGCTCCCAATCTCTTCAAGCACGGTATATTAATCTTAATAGATGCTTTTGTCAGGTATTTGTTAAACATATCTTAAGTCTTCTTCAGGTTCATTTTCAGTCCTGCTTGGTTGTGGCACATTGAATTCCTAGATTCACTTGTAGTGCTCTTTCTGAAGATTGGGACATCGTCAGCGAACCGTATCGACTAAGCAGTATTCACTTCACCCCTGATATTCCCAGTGGATTGGTTTAAAAAACGCTTTTAGTTCTGCATTGAATAATTGAGGTGATGCGGTTTCAATCTGTATTAACTCGATCGATTTTCAGTTTGCTGCTGTGTTCGCGGAGCTTTATGCTAGCCGCCCCACTATTACAAGTTGCGGCAATGAAGTGTCTGTATCTTTTCTCAATTTGTTCATTCCTTAGGGTATCTGATAAAGATAAGATATGAACCGAGTCAAAAGCCTACTCAAAAGTGAAGAATCTTTAACAGGTGTATATCAGATATTCGTTCCTTCTTTGGATCATTTGCGATACCACCCAAAAATGATTCATTGTACTAAATCCACTTCTGAATCCTGTTTGTTGTGTCAGTTATGTAGAGTTCAGCTTGTCCTGCAGTGTGTTCATCTGATCTTTGGCAAAACCTGATCGTCTGTTGTATTTAGTCCCTTTTTGCCACTTTACCACGCACTAATCGCATGACAGGATCCAATTTGTACTGCAGTAAACTGAGTTGTTTCCGGTATCATATGCAGGTTAAAAATGATTTAGTAGAATCTCATGCGCTTCGCATGGAAACCTTCCACGATGTTCATCACGGCATTTGCACGAAGAACAGAGCTTTATCCTGATTTGGCATCGCAACCGCAGAGCGTATTCTCGAAGATTTCTAATTGCTTTAGACTTGCCATATAAGTCAATATGTTCGGAATATGACAACTATTTTAAGTTTATTCTTGAACTCTTTGTTGAGTGTTTTGTTACATATAGACAATTTATTTTTTATCCTATTTCTGTTCTATTTGTCGTTCTCTGTATACTTTTACACTGATCATGGTATATTGCGCTGTTCTCGTAGACTCACTTACCTAATAGTGGCAGTTTTGCATTGTACTGCCCTACGTTTGTTTCTATTTGAAAATTTTATAAACTTTATAAGCTTCTCTGTTTAACCTATGTCTCGTCGGAAAAATTGCTTGCCTTCGTGATTCCGTTTAATCAGTTATACCTTAAGCTTCAACTGACATCCTTCAACGACGGCTTAAGTCTTTAACAATGAGGAAATAGACACATACTATTAAATTATAAAAAAAAAACAAAAACCAAAAAAAGGATCGAAAGAATAGCAGCTGAGGATGCGAATTGTTTCATTATGAACCAGCAGACGACTCGAAATTCGTCAGCGAAAATTTCTCAAAGAAAAAAGGACATTTCGCTGCGACGCCTAAATATTGATGGCAATTTCGGTCGCCAGTCAGGAAGACGTCGGTCGATCTCTGTGATTTACGCCGGGCAAGAAATAGGTTTTCGTTGGGGAAGCCAAAAATCAATAGTCGTTTCCAGTGAGGCTAGTAATCCAACGCGGAGGGAAAATGAGTCTCAGACGATGAACAACCGAGGAAATGGAAGTGAAGTACCTTCTGAATACCGCTGGTCTTTGGTGCTGCCACCAAATTTTGATCAGCTGTTGATGTCGTGACATAAGTTGGAGCAGTTACCGCCACTGTCGGCACCGTCGTCATATCGTTGTCATATCCTCGTCGCTGTCGTTGCAGCTCGCGAGCCACGACGTCACAGTACAGCTGTCGTCGGTTGGTCGACTGGTCTGTGAATGGGCGGTAGAGTGACGAGTGTTGTCGTTGGTCAAAACCTCAACCAGTCATCAACGGCGGAACTCGTCATTCACTCGGTCAGTCCCTCATTCTCAAGGCATCACTGGATCCCTGGGTCACCTTCTGATCACGGTCAATCAGCGACGTACGTCCAGACACTGTACGGCTTGTCTTTCGATGCAGCGATGTCCCAAGATGTGGAAAGTGAGGAGGAGGCAGACGAAGAGGCAGATGAGGACGACATGTACGACAGCGACGACGATTTCGACCCGATTTTCCGCGATTTTTACGACTTCACCTCCGAACAGTGGATTACTTCTCCTCAGGTTCAGGTAGGAGAACCCGTGGAGGTCGGCAAAAGCAATCATCATCAGGTTTAATCAAGTTTTTCGACTACTATCGCCCTGGAGTTTCAGGGAGAAGGTCGCACGAGCAGACCGATGGCTTGCCAACCGTCAGACCTCCTGTTGTTCCTTCGTCGTTGGTTTAATGCGAATCGATTTCAGTACTTCTTGGCAAGTCTTTGTGACCAGAACGCCAACATCGGCGGCGAGTACATGCTGCGAGCCCGGTCGCCGTTTGTAAACGAGGTGCGGGTGCTGGTGCAGAGGTTG